ACTATTTTTTTTCTTCCCAAACCCTGCATGCCTCACATGAATGTATGAAAAAGAAATCTATTTTTAATCATTACTTTCCCTTTAATAAGCTATTACTCAGTAAGCAATGTGTTTTATCATGCATGCTTAGTCGTAGTTTCTGAATGGTCACATTGATAATTATACTTGATATAATCTTGAAGGAAGAACATAAGAACTATTGTACATTGGTCATGTGGAAGGAGTACTACCTGTTCCATGGCAGTGAGAACCTTTATCTCCTCTTCCTTCATCATTCTTTTTAAATGAGACAATTCCATTTCACGTTGTCTCTCTTGCTCTTTTAGAGAAGTCAACTGCATGACATTGGTTGAATGTTTAGAATTCTTCTCATCCCTAAGTGCTTGAACCTGTAATAAAGTTAGTTCATCTCAGACCAACTGCAGTTGTGAGCTTAAACTTAACAATAACTGATCTGTTAGCAGTCCACAGACAATCGGTATTCAAGTCTTGCAGAACATCATAAGAATCTTAATATTTAATATTGGGATTGCTAGCTGTGAAAAAAAATCATTAATTGATCAATTCTGGCCATCACAGCATTAATTTTAGTCAGAAAAGTACTCCATAACAAACTATCACATTAATGGGGAAAATGTTGTTTTTCCAAGAGACTAAGCCATAAATATTTGTGTGTGACTTAAAAGAAAATGGAACTTAGTGATATTTTCTAATTGCCCTGTTCAGAGATGTCATTACACATGTCTGCAGCAGCTGGGACTTGTACCCAGGCGTCCTGCCTCAGGTAGGGGAACTAACGCTGTGCCTCAAGTCCCAATATACTGAGATTATACATGTAAATTAACTCATGTGCTGCATCTTCTAACTAGCTCATCATCTATCTTTACAATTAAACTGCAGTGTTCAGTACAAGCTGGAGGAACAGCATCTCAATTTGTGCTGAGGGCCTTGCAACCCTCAAGACTCAATATTGAGTTCAATAAATTTAGAGCCTGAACACCACGGTCCGTGACTTCTATACACCTCCATACCCCAGCTCCTGTCATGAAACAGGTTGCTTTCAGCGCAGCCAACCCATTCACCCACTCACAGCTGCAGCCCCTGCCCCCCAATTATCTAGCTTTTCTTCTTCCCTGCTTACTACCAATAATCCCTTTGTCTGCCCAACTTTAACCTTCTCTCTCTCTCTAGGCTCTCCTCCACCTCTCCCTCACCCTTTCTTCCCCCCACAGTGCTCAGTCATCAAGATAGCATCTAGGAAAAAAGTGGTATGTTCTCATTTCTGAGGAAGGGTCACTAGACTCAAAACCCAAACTTTGTTTTCTCTCCAAATGCTGCCAGACTCCTGAGTTTCTCTGGCAATTTGTTTTTGTTTTAAGTCTTATCTGTTGTTTATGGGATCATTTAGCTCAGTCTACTTTTTAGTACACAAGTAGTCCCATGTTGTAGCTCACCAGATTATATCATTTTTAGGAACACCTGGCACTGCTTCTATCATGCCTACCTGTATTCTTTATTGAACCAATGTTGATCTCCTGTCTGAATAGTAATGATAAAGTGAGGAATAGCTTAGGCCTTGGGGTTAAAGATTAATTTGAAAATGATCTTAAGCTGGTCGATCTGTTCGAATTCTGTCCCATTTAGCATGGTGATAGTACCATACACAATAGAAGATCTCCAAAATGTGAGGAAGAGACTTGTTCTTCATAATGACTGTGATGATCACGCTTAACAATAGCCATGGACAGATGTACGCACTACAGGCAGACTGGTTAGGACAAAGTCAAGTATGTTTTTTTTTTGCATCTTGTTAGTTCCATCATTTTCTGCTACAGACCAAAACTAGCAGTAATGTCCTTTAGACTCAGTCAGCTCATTCAGTAGTGGTACTACTGAGGAACTCAATATTGACATTGAAGTCACCCACCCAGAGTACAAGCTGTGTTTCCCTAGAACCTCGAATTCTTCTTTGAAGTGGTGTTCAATATGAAGGAGTACCGATTCATCAGGCAAGTTTTTTGGGGGTGGTGGCAGGTAGTAATCAGCAGGTGGTTTCTAGCTCATGTTTGATCGGATGCCATTAGACTTCATGGGGTGTGGAATCAATGTTTAGGACTCTGGGTCACAGTCTGTACCACTTAATTTCATGAGTATGAATATGTTGGGGTGTTGCTTGACTAGTCTGTGGGACAGCTCTCCCAATTTTGGCATAAGCCCCCAGATTTTAGTAAGGAGGACTTTGCAGGGTTAACAGGACTGGGTTTACCATTGTCATTTCTGGCCATCAGATCTATGCTGGCTGGTGTGTCGGGTTTCATTCCTTGCTTTAGACCTTGAAGCAGTTCAACTGAGTGGCTTGTTAGGCCATTTAAAGAGCAGATAAGAGTCAACCATACTTTTGTGACCAAGATAGTGGTAGGACTTTTCTTCTTTAACGTGTCGTAGATTTTTTATAAAAGTTTGTGTCAGAATTTTAATTGACATTTTTGTCAAGAATTTACAACAAAATTATGAAATAGACTGTTAAATTTAGTAACACTCCAAACTAGTCTGCTGAGGTGAGGTGCTCAATTATCTCAGAGCAACTCCCAACAAAAACAAAAAGTACCCTAGTGCAATCTGACCCGAGAGCTGCAGGACACGACATACCAGCTGGAAATCGGCTGTCAGGTATATTTATTTATATACAGTTCTTACATTTAGCAGAACTGTGGTGTATTGCAATGGCCTACAACATGCTGCTGAATTTACTATAATATTTTTAACACAACGTATGGGTCAGTGAAGATTTTGTATCTCCTCCTTGTCCCATTCAACCCATGTCAGACTATCCTCTCCTATGGTCATATAAAATGTGTGCCTTTAATGTATTTTTTCAAATAATTGGACAAATGTGACTGTTTCATTATAGCTATATGCAGTAGTTACCAAAATGACAAGATTTAAAGTACACCGAATGTACCTACCCTTTCCAGCTCTTTAGTTAGTTCCAGTACATGAGAGTGCAAGAGGGCATTTTCCTTTGTCAAGTGACCACAGTCCTCAGCCACTTTATTTCTGAGAAACTTGTCTTCCTCCACCAACAACACTTTGTCCCTCAGCTTTTGTTGCTAACTGCTGATTTCATCCCTGAAAAATGTTGTTACAGTAGATTTGTTCATAATTTAACTGAATAAGTGCTGTTCGTGACAACCATTGACCCAGAAGCAATATTATAAAGAAAATTGATTATTTAAAATGTCTGTACAGTCTGTAATTATTTTAATATTTGAGCGTTTGCTCAATTGTAAATGGATCAGTTATAATTTTCCTCAAATAGTAAGAAATTTTGGACCATGTGACTTGGCAATCCTTGACCTGGAAGTAATGCCACCATGAAGGAAATAAATATCGGCTTTTAGAGGGCAGTGGCAATAACTTTCCCAAAATCAAATCCTCAGTGAAATCCACTGAGAGAGCAGCCAGCTTTCTCACTCTGCAGTGCCAGGGAGAAGGCTGTGCCTGCTGCTGGCAGGTGAACCAACATCACAAGGACAAAGGTTTCATGTAGCTTTTGGCAGTGGAGATTTGGTTCTCAGCAGCCATTCTCTTATCCTACGTCAGTCTTTTGATTAATCACTAATTTTTGCACAAAGGACAAGAAGAACAAAAAGGTTAAATTTTGTTATACAGATTTGTCAGAATAGTATTTCTTTTGTCACTAAGTTGTTGAGAGCTATTTTTATGGTGTCTTTACCTCTGGTCAGAAGGTCCAGGTACAAACCCCACTTGTCTCAGAGTTTGCCAGGTCTGAACAAGTATCTACTTATATATTACATCTTTTAAGGAAACAGTGATAAACAGTTTTGGCAGAAGAGAGAGTAGGACAGTGAGATTTGTATTGTAATGCTTTGGCAAAGAATCAGCATGGACACAATAGCTTTCTGCTTTTGTAAATATCTGTAGCTTTCTGGAATTTGACCAAGGAGGAAAATACAGGCACTAAAAAGGTTCAACACTTAAAAAAGGTAATTTAGATGGAGAAAATATATAATAAAAATGTAGTAAATGGAGAATCAATGTGGGAACAGGCAGGATCAATATATTTTGTACGAAAACAAAATATTGCAGGTGATGGAAATCCCAAATAAAAACAGAAAATGTTGGAAATACTGAGCCGGTCTGGCAGAATCAATGGATAGACAGAGTTATTGTGTCATGTCCTCTTATAAGGGTCATGAAACATCCAGCACTTTGTGTTTTTCCCCCCATACTTGTTATTTATGAACAAATAAACTATTCCTTGTATGCACACAAAAATAATAGGGTATAGCCATTCAGTCTGTCATGCCTGTGGCAGCTCTCTGTGGAGCAATAAACTTAAATTTTAACATTAACTTGGTTTTACTGTCTATAAATGCTGGCTGGCTGAGTATTCCCAGACTTTTTTTGTACCTTTAGACTAATTAACCTCACCATGCTGATGAAAAATGGAATGTCCAGTCAATTATGGTGTGAAATTCTTTAAAACTGATGGATGCACAGAAAACAGATAAGGATTTATCGAGACTTATTAATGTAACCATATTTTTTCACTGCCATTGTAGGAGACTAGTAAATTGACAGAAAGGAATCTTTTTTTGGAAAAGTCACAAGTCCAGGGATGAAGATTGTATTGATTCTACGTTAATTCAATTTTTCGACCAAATAAAACTCAATCATCATGGTAACTAGTCTATTTAAGAATTATTTTACTATAGACAGTTCTTTCATGTACGACATACAGGATTCTAGACGCAAAATCAAAATCATGTTCATACTGCAAACACAACTCATCATGAATTCCAAGTAATCCTAATGGTTACTAGATGAAACCTAGTCATTAGAGAAGTTAGGATTAAATCCTGTAATTACTGTCACAAAAGTTTCTTCACTTTGTTTTACAATGAGTGTTTAAAGAAATGGATTGTGTTCAGTTTAAAAGTGCTTCATGTTATAAAGGGAAGTCATAATCTCCTCACCTCAGTTCTTTGGCAATGTTGTCTTGCATTGATGCAGTACCGGTGTAGTACTTCTCTACAAGCTGATGAAGAGCAACATGAGTCTTTAATGACTCTGATGTCTTTTCTTCAAGCTTAGCCTCTGCAGCCTGGTGCTTATCAACATGCTGGTTAAGCTTAAAATAAAAATATTCTTTTAAAAATATGCAGTGATCATCCAAATCTCTCTTACTCATGTCCTATCTTGTACCAAATCATGTGCACTGATCAACTCTGTACGTGGTGACCCAGGTTACATAATAACTTGATTTTGAAATTCTTGTTTTCAAATCCTTCAACAACATTAGCACCTTCTATCCTTCTAAACATTTTCAGCCCATGACTCTCCCAGATACGTGACCACCTAATTCTGGTTTTGTAAGCATTACAGTTTTTTAATTATAGTAACATCGATAGCCATTTTTTTTAGCTGCCCAAGTTCCAAAGTCTGGAATTCCTTCTCTATACATCTCCACCTACTTTCCTCCTTAAAGACACTTAAAAACCTACATCTTTGACTTGGTCATCTTTTCCAATATCTCATGTTCCTTGGTGGCATCTTCAAATGATTAATTATGTAAACGATACCATACAAATCATTGTTTTTACTGTAATCATTATCACACATCACCAGAGGTCCACAACTGCTCCCAGGCCTCAGTCAATCATGGCCACTATTTGCAGATTAAATAGATTTCACAACTCTAAAAGGAAGAACATGGGGAATATTGGATGTAAGGGCAGTAGGAAATAGTTCTCTGTAGGCACACCCTTTCCTGTTGTTGGCTCCCTCAATTGGGCAGTAGGTGCCAAAGAGGCAATCTCTGGGAGGTTTCAAGCAACCCAACAGGGTTTCTGGGTGGCCTTTGTGGGAGGGGGCAGGGTGCTTGGAATGATTCCTGAATCATCACCAATTCAGAGTACGTGAATGATAGCCTTTAGGTAAATAATGAGGAGACTGTTTGTTTACTATCTGGCAGGTTTCCCATGTTGAGCCATTCCTGCTATTGACTGTTTATTTACAAGCATGAGTGGGCACACAGCCCCTCCCACAATTACGCAGACCATCTATTCCACTGTGCTCCATTAAATCCAGCTTACACAGAGAATGATGATGGTATATTACAAATTGGTCAGGAAGTCAGAGTTGCTGTAACAATATACAGTCACACATGCATGTTTAGTCTGGAGCTTTGAATAGTGATGGTAGAGCTCCAACTTTCCATTCATTACTTGACTGACCATGAATCCCTTCTGCTCTTACTGTTTGCCATTAAGCATGTGTTGGATGAATTTGCAGGTATAATGCAGCCAAACAAGTTGACTATCTCGGTGTACATTCCTTAGCTATCAAATTCCGAGGTAGGAGTTAAGCTTCTGACTCAGAGGAGTTGGCACTACCAACTGTACCACAAGACCTCAATGTATCTGGGGTAAATACTGAAAATCTTTAAAGCAGATCAAGCAGCATCTAAATGAGAATGACGTGTTGCATGAATGATCAAAAGTGAGAACTTCTACACATTTCCAATATTACTTTATTTTATTCATCTGATTCTTGTGCTTTTTGTTCCTGATCTAATAACTACTAGCTTGCACTTCATCTCAAACTGCATTTTTCTCCTTCTTCAGTGCTCTATTTTTATGGGACAAGAACTGATGTTTGACACACAAATTATAACTCTTATATGCATCTAATTGTCTGCACATTGTCATTTGCAGAGATTTTAATTCTCCTCCTTTTGCACATTCTTCTTCCCTGTCTGTGTATGAAATATAGTCATGCATAAGTATCAGAAACTACAATCAATATGACATCATTAATGTGTTTATTTCCAAAATGCTACGTCAGGTTAAATAAGCCACACTTTATATATAATTTGCCTCAATCACTTTTTTTCAAGTGAAGCATTTCAAAATAAAAATGTCATTAAGAAACTGAATCAAAAGTTCTCCCAAAGTGTGTGATTCGAACTGTTGAAAATTCTTCCCATCTTCTACGAGCTCTACTTATCTATCTGTTTTTCGTTCCATATGGTTTACTGATGGCAACACATGCCACTTACCTTGAATAGAACCAGCTTTAGAATCAAATTAATTTGCTTATGTTACAATAGGAAACTTAAACAACTTTTAAAAGACTTTCTTTAGCAATTACAAAACTACAGTTCAAGGCTTCAAATAAGACCAGCATTTGAATGTCACGTTCATCGAGTATTTGTGGTGTATTCAGGTTTCCCCTTGAAGAAAGTGCTTCAGGCACATTTGCAGAGTGGATGGAAAAAGAGGAGTTATGTACCATCCTTTCTATCTCCCCAACAGTGATGTTCTTGTGTAGAAATTGAAGTACTGTTTTTATCTTTCCTTTTGTATACCACAGGCCATCTTTCAAGGTCAGAAGTCAGTGGTTTTGTAATAATTCCCACAAAGCAAATTAAATGCCTTTGGTTTCCACAGAAAGTAATTTGAATTTATTAGGAGGTAAATGTACAAATTTAAATTATTTTGCTACAGTCATTTTAATTGTTAATGACCTGAAATAAGGTGCTCAGAGAATATTTTTGAGGGATCAGCCAGTGAAGCGAGAGTGGGTGGAACTCAGAAATAAGAAGGGGCTGACCACTTTATTGGGATTCTACTGTAGGCCCTCCAATAGTCAGCAGGAAACTGAGGAGCAAATATGTGGAGAGATCTCAAATATATGTAAGAATAATAGGGTTGGAATAATAAGGGTTTAAACTTTCCAAATATAGACTGGGATTGCCACAGTGTTAAAGTCTTGTATGATGAGGAATTTGTCAAAATGTGTCCAAGAAAATTTTCTTTAGCAATTTGTAGATGTACCTACTTGAGAAGGAGCAAAACTTGACTTTCTCTTGGGAAATAAGGCAGGGCAAGTGACTGAAGTATTAGTGGGGTGGGGGGTGCGCACTTTTGGACCAGCAATGATAATTCTATTAGTTTTAAAATAGTTATGGAAAAAGATAGGCCTTGTATAAAAGTTCACGTTCTTACTTGGAGGAAGGCAAATTTCAACCGTATGAGACAGGTGCTTTCAAAAATTGACTGGGGTAGCCTGTTTGCAGGTAAAGGGATGACTGGCAAGTGGGAGGCTTTCAAAAGTGAGAGAACGAAAGTTCAGAGGCATTATGTTCCTGTTAGAGAGAAGGGGAAGGTTGCTAAGAATGGGGAATAATGGATGAATAAAGATATTGAGGCTGTGGTCAAAACTAAAAAGGGGGCATTAGTTAAGCATAGACAATTGGGATCAAATGAATCTCTAGAAGAGTATAAGGGATGTAGGGGCATTTTTACAAAGAAAATCAGGAAGGCTGAAAGGATAGCTTGGCAGATAAGGTTAAGGATAATCCAAAGAGATTCTACAAGTACATTGAGAGGAAAAGAGCAACTAGGGAGAGAATAGGGCCCCTAAAAGATAATTGAGGTTGTCTGTGTGTGGAACCACATGAGATGGGAGAGATCCCAAATGAATGTTTTGTCTTTTTTTTTTTACTGTGGAGAAATACATGGAGGCTAAGGATCTCGGGGAAATAATATTGATGTCTTGAAAATAATATTGATGTCTTGAAAATGGTCCATATTACAGAAGAGGTACTGGAGGTCTGAAACAAAACATAAAGGTGGATAAATCTCTGGGACCTGATCAAGTGTGGGACGTTAGGGAAGAAATTGCAGGGCCCTAGCAGAGATATATTTATCATCTATAACCATAGGTGAGGTGCCAGAGGACTGGAGGGTGGTTAATATTTTGCATATATTCTGTTATTTGCAATATACTCTTATTTCTGATATCCACTCATTATAGCTTCACTGGATGATCCCTCTCAAATATTCTCTCTGAGCACCTTATTTCAGGTCATTAACAATTAAAATAACTGTAGCAAAATAATTTGCATTTAAGAAAGGCCATAAGGACAAACCTGAAAACTGTAGACTGCTGAGTCTGACATCACTGATGGGTAAGTTGTTGGAGGGGATTCTGAGAGTTGGGATTTGTATGCATTTTGGAAAGGCAAAGACTAATTAAGGATAGTCAGCATGGTTTGTGCCTGAGAAATCCTGTCTCACAAATTTGATTGGGTTTTTTGAGGAAGTAACCAAAAAGATTGAGGGCAGAGCAGTAGATGTTGTCTACACTGATTTAATTAAAGCCTTTGACAAGGTTCCGCATGGTGTTCTGATTAGTAAACTTAGATTACATGGGTTTCAGGATGAGCTTGCCAATTGGATGCAAAATTGACTTATCAGTTGGAGACAGAGGGTGGTGGTGGAGAGCTGTTTTCAAACTAGGCCCGTGATCAGCATTGTTCTGCAGGGATCAGTGCTGGGTCCACTGTTGTTTGTCATTCATAGTAACAATTTGGATGAGAAGTTAGGAGGACTGGTTAGTAAGTTTGTGGAAAGCACCAAAATTGGTAGTATAGTCAACAGTGAAGAAGATTACAAAGGGTTCTTGATCAATTGGACCAATGGCCTGAGGAGTGGCAGATGGAGTTTAATTTGGATAAATGCGAGCTATTGCTTTTTGGTAAAGCAAAAAACGACAGTTAATGGTAGGGCCCGGGTAGTTTTGTCAAACAGAGACCTAGGGGTTCAAGCATATAGTTCTTTGAAAGTTACATCGCAGGAAGACAGGGTGGTTAAGAAGGCGTTTAGCACACTTACCTTCATTGCTCAGACCATTGAGTATAGGAGTTGGGATATCATATTGAGGTTTGTGCAGGACTTTGAGGCCACTTTTGGAGTACTGCGTACAATTCTGGTACCCCTGCTATACGAACGATATTATTAAATTGGAGAGGGTCCAGAAAAGATCTACCAGGATGTTGCCAGGTCTGGAGGGTTTGATTTATAAGGATGAGCTGGATAGGCTGAGACCTTTTTCATTGGGGCATAGGAGGTTGAGGGATGACCTTATAGAGGACTATAAAATCATGAAGGCATAGTTAAGGCAAAAAGCAAAGGTCTTTTCCCAAGGGTGGGAGAGTTCAAAACTAGAGGCATAATTTTAAGGTGAGAGGAGAAAGAGATTTTAAAAGGGATCCAAGCGGCAACATTTTCCATAGGGAAGGTGGTTCGCACATGGAACGAGCTGCCAGAGGAGGTGGTAGATGCAGGTACAGTTACAACATTTAAAAAACATTTGAATGAGTACATGAATAGGAAAGGTAAGGAG